ACACACATATTACCAAATGTTTCAACTGATCAATGTCTTCTTTCGTTTCAGAGCTGCTTCTTTTCAGGTCGTAAAGCTAAAAATCACAGACTATCTCATCCCATGCAAGAATATTGCACAGCTGTAAGTATAGACACCAGTCATTGTCTACTACAGTGTCATTCATTACAACCGCAATCACTAAATCAATAAACATTCATATACATGGACAAATCATTGATCATATAAGTTTTGTAGATCCATGAAATGACTTTCTGATGAGTACCGGTATGTGCTATTTTTACTTTTTCTGAACATGCATCAAGTGTTGTTAAACAACAACAAAGTTAGTGTTTTTAGTATTATTAATAATCATTTTATAGACCACCTCAGGTGAAGATGTGAGAGATTTTGCAAAGGTGGTACGTAATCGGTTAAAAGGCAAGAAGAAAAATAACAGATTAGGTTATTTACCAGTTCAAACAGTCTTAGAAGGAGATGACTTGGAGACGTGAGTAACGACAAACCATTTATTTTTAATGTTGTCCACTGTGATCATCACATTTTGTTGACCACTGGGACCCTCTTGATATACATATTATGGTGTCATTTATTTCAGACCCGCACCAAGTCCACAGCAAGTTGTGTCTCAAGACATGCATACAAGACTTGAATTATATGCATCAAGGTAAACATTGTAATTTTGAGTGTTGCTATGACAACTCAGTGTATTTTATCAGTGTGACAAACTCAACCTATGACACATGTTTGTGATAGAGGTCACTTTGTGATGTGAATATTTTGTAATTTGTCTATAGGCTAGCGGAAGTGGAACAAACACAAACACAATTTGATGTAGCATCAACCAATCTGTAAGTATCTTCATACATATTGCTAAGAACAGTCAGCTGATTATTTTCTAATATATCTTGAATATATGTAAGATATGAACAAATAGTTTTGATGTGATGCATACAAAGCTATGCTATAATTCAAATCATTACTTTCTTGACATGTTATCTTACCTTATCACATCATAGCCATTGTAATATTATCCTATTATGGAGGTATGTACTCTCATATGATACCTGTTGCTTTCAGTGATGATGAACACCATCTTATTGCCCAGTATTGTCAGAGTCTTGGTGGCGATGCTTCAGCCGTGGTGAGTTTCATAAATATGTAATTTGGGTGCTACAGTGTATGGACTTACCGTATATTCAATATGGCTGACTGGTGGCCATTTTGATTAGCTTTCATATAGATGATGATGAGTCTGTCAGTAAAGGTGCTTGTCCATTCTATGTTTATCGACCAGCACAATTTCTTGAAATGTAGGTTGTGGTGGTTTTCTATCAGATTTGTTCATTTTTCCTGACTTTATCGTCAATTGTATATTTAACAAATATTTCTTTCATACATGTATCAACTTGTGGTCTACAACTTTAACTTGACCCTATTTTTAAAAAAATGTTTATATTTTTAATAGGCAAATTTTTTAATAACTTAAATGCTTCAATTGTTTGTCTTAAAAATTACATTGGAGTTTTTTCTTAGCTTTCTTGTACAATTTTTAGCAACTGCGTATAATTTCAAAAGACACTATTATTTCAGTTGTGAACTGTATTGAATTTTAATACATTTTAATTTAGCCAAGAAGTCCTGCACAGATAGTATGTGGAATAGATGCTGAACAACGTAACCAGTTAGAAACATCTATACATGGATTAGAAGAAGAAAACAGGTATGATTTACTGCCTTGCTTTATAGTATACTGCTAACCATCACACCAATTAGCAAGAGCTTGTCTTCTACGGTATATAATTTGTATGTGATAATAAACTCTATGATATTCAATTAAATCTTTAGACAACTGCAAGAGGAATATGAGAAACTGAAAGCATTGAGAAGACAACAGTTGGAGAACCATGGTGATTTGTTATGTGATGAGGAACCCTCTTCACCCAGTAAAGATGCAGAATTAATAGCAGAAGCCAAATTATTAAGACAACATAAAGGACGCCTTGAAGCAAGGATGCAAATACTTGAAGACCACAATAGACAATTAGAAGCACAGTTACAAAGGTTGAGACAATTGTTAGAACAGGTAATGTCAATGTTCTATTATCCATCAGCAGACACCATTATGGAATTATTAATCACCATTGAAATGTGTAATGGGTACTGTATTACAGTTACTGATTGGTATGGGTACTGTATTACAGTTACTGATTGGTATGGGTACTGTATTACAGTTACTGATTGGTATGGGAACTGTAGTACAGTTACTGATTGGTATGGGTACTGTAGTACAGTGGCTGATTGGTATGGGTACTGTAGTACAGTGGCTGATTGGTATGGGTACTCAAGTACAGTGGCTTATTGGTATGGGTACTGTAGTACAGTTACTGATTGGTATGGGTACTGTAGTACAGTTACTGATTGGTATGGGTACTGTAGTACAGTGGCTTATTGGTCATGGGTACTGTAGTACAGTTACTGATTGGTATGGGTACTGTAGTACAGTGGCTTATTGGTATGGGTACTGTAGTACAGTTACTGATTGGTATGGGTACTGTATTACAGTTACTGATTGGTATGGGTACTGTAGTACAGTTACTGATTGGTATGGGTACTGTAGTACAGTTACTGATTGGTCATGGGTACTGTAGTACAGTTACTGATTGGTCATGGGTACTGTAGTACAGTTACTGATTGGTCATGGGTACTGTAGTACAGTTACTGATTGGTATGGATACTGTAGTACAGTTACTGATTGGTATGCTACTGTAGTACAGTTACTGATTGGTATGGATACTGTAGTACAGTTACTGATTGTAATATAACGATTTGATATTTCACATTCATAGCCCCAAGACAGAGCTAATTTATCCCAGGCTTCATCACAAAGAACAACGCCAGCTGTGACTCCAACATCATCAATTGGATCATTGCCTGCTAGTGCTGGTACAGGAACTCATCCATCACGATCTCGTCTGACAACTTCCAAAATGACAAACGGTGCATCTACCAGTGATGGTGATGGTGATAGTGACGTGGCAGGCAAGTTTCAATACATTGATTCATTCCAATAACTAATTGTTTGCCCTTTGACCCTTACTAACTTAATTAATGTTTTCATCCCAGCAGATGATTTTTCTGCTAACACACCTCCACCATTAAAAGATGATAGTGTATACCTCAATAACAAGAATGATGCTGT